TATCTGTACTGACAGTGTCTTGTAGATGCATTACATTACAGTACAGATTTATAAAAAAACAAGTAAGAGCAGCGCTGTCTTCGGCTATGCCGAAGGCTTCATACCTTTCATGAACATCTGCAAATTTTAGTTTGACAGGTTACTGATTTTGAATACATCTGCATACATCGACAGAGGAGTTACATACTTATATAAAAAATCGCATCTAAACAATCAGAGGTATGGAAGATATACTTTATATGGCACCAATCTAAGTGATTTTCACTGCTATGTGATCGGTATGTAAACCGGTAACACAATTTATTGGATTTAGTTTCCTACATAAAGGAGATATATCGCAAAAAACGGGTCTGAACAATCAGTGCTATAGGAGATACAGCTTATACAGCATAGATTTTGACGATTTTCTCAGTAGACTTTGTATTATTATTTATAAAATATCTTACGAAATTTAGCGGTTTTAGCTGTTCAAATAAAGGAGTTTTACAGTAAAATCCCATATCTGACCAATCAGATGTATGGAATATATATGTTGTAGTCACCCGATCCTTGTTATTTTCACTGTAAGTATTCTGTTAATAATGAGTGAAAATGGTGCGAAATTTCATGTTCCTAGCTGCATAAATGGAGGAGTTATGATAAAAGACCTCATATCTGAACAATCAGTTGTATAGGGGCTGCAGGCTATAGTGACCCGATCTTCGTTATTTTCACTGTAAGTCTTCTGCTGATAATGAGTGACCACAGTGCAAAATTTCATGTGCCTAGCTACATAAATGGATGAATTATAACGAAAAATCTCATATCTGAACAATCAGTTGTATGGGAGCTATAGGTTATAGTTATCCGATCTTTTTAATTTTCACTGTAAGTTTTCTGTTGATAATTATTGAAAACAGTGCGGAATTTCCTGTTCCCAGCTATATAAATGGAGGAGTTATAACGAAAAATTTTATATCTGAACAATCAGTTGTATGGGAGCTATAGGTTGTAGTGAACCGATCTTTGTAATTTTCTCCGTAAGCATTCTGTTGATAACGGGTGCAAGTTCTGCAAAATTTCATGTTCGTAGCTGCATAAATGGAGAAGTTATAACGAAAAATCTCATATCTGAACAATCAGTTGTATGGGAGCTATATGTTAAAGTGGTCCGATTCTTCCGGTTCCGACAAATGATTAATACATTATAAAAATACACCCACCTACCACATTTGATCCGGATATCTCTAAAACTGAGAGACTAGATTGCATACAAACAGACAGACAGACGGACAGACGGACATGGATAAATCAACTCAGCTCGACGATGTGATCATATAAGTATACATTTTAATGGGTCTATCTCTTCTTATTCTGGTACTTACAAACATCGGACCAAAGTTATAATACCATTTCATGCTCATGAAAGGTATAAAGAAACAAAAGCATATGTATATTTATACATACACTAGACCGTATCACAAAAATAAGGCACCCTGAAATTGTGCATATGGAAACTGTGCATACGAAATAATGCATACGAAAAAAACCGAAATAATACATATGTATATGCACAGTTTCGGTTGAAAACTTCTTCAGAACTTCTCTCTGCGTATTATCCCAGTAGAACTTGGGAGCATCGTACGATTGCTCGGTGAGTACTCCCTTGGGAGTATACGAATACTCCCCATTGCTCCCTATGCTTCTGTGTATAAGCATGTAATTTTGTATACTCCCTTTAACATTGGATGTCCTAGGAGGGGGAGTAATCCCTTTTACCTCCTAAACAAGCAATCGGGGAGCACACACAGAATTATCATCCCACAAACCTCCTAATGGAGCAATACGGGAGTACTCCCTTAGTTACCTCCCAGAAACCTTCCAAAAAGACAACAAGGGAGTGCACATAGAAAACATCCCACATTCCTCCCTAACGAGTAGTAAGGGAGTACTCCCATAAGAGTCATCCCGGAAGGCTCCTGTACGAGTAATAAAAGAACGTCTCTATACTCCCGAATTCCTCCTCATGGAGTAATGGAAGACTACTCCCACATTGCTCCATAACGAGCATTTTACATAAGCTAAAAAGATTTTGCTTTTTACGCAATTCATTTATTTAATTTTTTAATCATATACATATATACATACTTATGCACATAAATACAAGATTTAAGCTGATTATTACAAAAACAGAAAAAAACATAAATAATTATTATTACAATATTAACTAAAATTAGAAAACGGATATCGAACAGTAATGACAAACTCAAACATTATACATACATACATATATACTTTTATACAATCCACAAGATAAGTGTGGCGAGGATGATTTCCTGGAAAAGTTATTTAACTTGTATTCACCCGGGAGTGGCCCAAACTATTCACGCCTTGAAAAACTTCCGGCTGTACCCAGTAAGTTTTCTGGGCGGGGCAAGATTGCAACGCTAGAACGTAGACGCCTTAATTGCTGGCCCCGTAATCTGAAATATATTTTGAGTTAAATAATACAATCATTTATAAGTTTAAACAAATGCTATCATACATACCAGCGGCTCTAAAGATTTGCTCTCCAATTAATTTCATTGTTTCCTGATTTAAGTTTTTCAATTAGAAATACATATGTATGTATATAAGTATGAATGTACACATCAGTTATCTGTTTTGCTTTCTTCATACATTTTCCAAAAACACAAAATTATGTTGAAGAAGGTGCGTATAGCTCTCCTATCAATTAAAAAGAATACTCCTGGATTGCTCGCTTAGGAAACATCGATTTTTGCTCCTAAGCGAGTAATAACGGAGTACAAAACCAACAAATCTCGCTTATACCTCCGAAATCATGTATCCCGGAGGATACTTTTATTGCTCACTTGGGAGATCTCCCATTATACTCCTAAGTGAGTAATACAGGAGTGCAAAACCGACTAATCTCGCTTATTGCTCCCAAATCATGCCTCAGGGAGCATTCTTTAATTGCTAGCTTAGGAGATGTCCCTATTGACTCCTAAACGAGTAATAAGGGAGTAAAAAGTCCACAAATCTCTCTTATTGATCCGAAATCAGGTCAAGGGGAGTACTCTTTTATTCCTCACTTAGGGAGATCTCCATTCAAGTTCTAGTGGGATGGTTCTGCGTTATCGTTGAGTGATAAAAAATAACACCTTTACACCGCATTTATTTCGGTGTTTATTTTATACTTTGCACTTCACTTCACGATAACGCAGTGCGCCTTAAAACCTGGTATGTTTAATTCTTGCGGAATTTTCCTTATTACTAGAGAAATTGACAGCCCCTTCGACAACTGTCAGCTCTTAAGGTTGTCTAAAAAATATTTTCTTATTTTTAGAAAAATTAACAATTGATTTGACAGCTGTCAAGTGTCAAACTATAAATTTTATGGCATATTTGGATTTAGCATCACAACAGTACTACGATCCTGCAGCTTTATCATAATCGTCGTAACAGCCCTTCTAATTTTTCGCGTACACATGGCTTCTCCGACCACTGTGTGCCGGTTTCACGAAAGCAATTTAAGCTCTGGGGCACCCCAATGTGCATACATACATACATATGTATGTATATATATATAAATGTATAAGCCAGAAGTGGGTGGAGGCGTCTTATATTTTCACCCAAATTGCGGACACTCTCACTATGACATTCCGTATCTTAACTCTTTATGTGATTCTTCTAATTGAACAGTCCTAGATTTCCTAAAGCATACTTATATTATTTATCTAAAAATGATTTTGTTTGAACTTAATACGGTGTGCCAACGCATTCAACTGCCAGCGTAACCAACTGCACGAATAAAGCCAGAATAAATACGACGATGATCTAACGCAAAAGGTTACATACATATATAACATATGTACATATGTATGTATATGAACAAATCTTACATATGTTTCGATTTTCCAGCCAAATTTCCGCACTCAATGGTCTTTTATTACAATTTGCAATGTTTATTCAGCTCTTCTCACGTTTTCTTTTATGTTTCTTCTATTTGACATTTCTTTTGCGTTGCATTTTCACTTTTCCTTCAGATTTTCGTTGGCTTCAATTTAATACATACATACATATTTCACAAATTTTCCACATCTTTCTAGTCGTTTTTCCGTCAACAGCTGTGGCACTTCTCGCTTCTGCTGCGCTCACTTACAATGCATTTTCTGCACTATCTAAAGCCTTTGGCGAAACTTACAGATATTAACACAACTTGAAGCCACATCGAATTGCCATCTCACTAAGGCGATAGATAGTGTTGCAACGTACGTAGCACAAAATACCAGTTAAAATGCAGATTTCAGTATGACGGGAAGGTGAGGCGAACCGACCAGTTGGAACAAGTGCAAAATTCCGAATTTACTTGCAACAGCGGACACGGCATTCATTTGATTGACGCGGCGAGAAAATTGGAAAATGCACAATACTCTGACTTCGCATGAGGAAGGTGAAAAATATATAAACCCTCAACGCACCCCCGCCATTGGTGGTTTTATCTATGCTTAGCTATGCTTTTGCTGCGCTGGCGGTCTCTCAAGTTGTGCCAAAATACACCACTGCCATCCAACGGCCATATCCACAATCGCCATAAGAGTAGCAAAGTCGACAATAGCTTTTGGCAGTAAAAATGAAAACAAAAGCAACAATCAACAACCGACCAGATGGAACTCATACCTAAGGCCCTGTCTCCACAGCAAAACACTGATGTCGTGATAACCATGTCACAAAATATATTTCCAATGGAGACCGCCTATTTCTTATGTGCTGCAATATATGTCAGCGCTTATTGCTTGACATCTATTGCAGGCAATTCGATAGTTTGACAGCCATATTTTCATTTGAAAGAAAGCGTGCTGGTGGTAACATCGATGAAATTTTGATATTAAATCAAAATAAAAATCTGTTCCGTATTGGATAATTTATGATTACGTTTTAGGAAATTATTTAGCTAGTTTTTTAAAGATTTAAATGTTTTTAAACACCGAAATTGAGAGAATGTTGTCTGGTGGCGTCATGCGGCAAATGCTTATTTCAAGACATCAAAGTGCCCACACACAAAAACTTGCAATCACATTGCTCGTCAAAATGACAGTTGGTAGGCCATCGCTGTTCGCCTGTGGAGTTCTGCGGTAAGGTAAGTGCATACATTCATATGTGTATATGTAGATATATACTTATATACATATGTACATACCCTGCAAGAAAATCTACTGGCTCCTAATTGCAGTGAGTTTTTTTTTTAATTGTAGGCTACACAAATTTCCACTACTCAACACGGGCATTGCACAATCGTTACTTTACGAAGATGTACGTACATACATACATACATACATGTTAATATTTACATGCATAAGTAAGTAATGCTTACTAAATACGTAGATACCAAATAGATATTAAATTGGCACTGCTGAAGCTTTCCTGCGGGGCTATCACACAAAACTTTTATTTACAAGCATTCGTGGCATGTACATACATAAATAGATTCAAAACATACATATGTATGTAGATATGTATGAATGCTCATCGGGTTGTGCGTGTGCATTGGTGTTTGTTTGTGGTTGTTGGGCGACTCTGACAAGTGGCAACAATTTTCCTCTTCGCATGTCATTTTCTCTTGCCGGTACGCTGCCCATGGATTCTCAGAAACTCTTTAAGCCAAGAAAAAGCTTGCAAAATCGGAACATTATACATACATATGTCCATATGCAATGTGTAATGTGCTCAACTCTGTTAGTACAATTGGGGTGTTCACAGTTCGTTCCAAATTGTGTCTGAAAATGTAGACGTCTACATTTTGAGACATCTTTAGCATCAAACTGTGAGCACCCCTTTCTAGCAGTCGTCGCAAAATCGTCTCAAAACTTTGCTGGTGTTGCCAGACATTTCTTCCTTGCGTGCATTTTTTATATGTCGCCTTTCGATTTTGTTTCTGAAAAATTGTAATTATTTAACTTAATTACCAATTCGTAATATTTGTTATTTCTTTTCCTTGATTTGTTTCTTTTCATCAGAAATTGCGCTCAAATTAAATGCAAATACAGAAAACGTGCCCAATAAATAAAAAAAATGTGATAAGTATTGCCATAATGCAACCCTGCTGCGAGGTCGCAAAATGTAGACGCGTAAAAAACATACCTTTGAGTGTGACAAAATGTAGACGGCGTCGTTTTCCAATTTTGTATGGGAAACAACAACACCACAGATTTTACGGTTAGAAAACGTCTTAAAATGTAGACGTCTACATTTTGAGACGCTATTTGGAACGAACTGTGAACACCCCAAATATTTTCATTTTATCGTTTATCATCGTCACCACCAGTGTTGCCATTTTAGCCGTTTTCCGGCTAGATTTAGCCGGTTGCGATACCAAACAGCCGGAGTAATTTCGATTTAGCCGGTAGCCGATTTGTTAGCCGTTTTGCAGAAAAAAATTTGCCGTTTTTAGCCGATTTTGCTATTTGCCTTGTTTTCTTAAATTTCAAATATGTATAAATGTTTCCATTTTTGACTAAGCGACCCAAAATCTGTTAGAGATGGCCACTAGCCTTATCGTGGAGAAAATTTTCATGTCAGGCAGGGTTGTATGAAATTGGGCCGATTTCGCTTCTTTTTTTTAAACGAATAAGGGATTTTCTTCAGAAAATGTTTGTTATAAATGTCTTAATTTTAAGTGTGAATTTTTATTCGCAAACTTAGAAAATAAGAAATTGTTTCACTGTTAAGACACTTAAGATGCGTTTGTGTTTGGATATAGTGCCAACAAACAGAATAAATATTACATGTAGATATTGTGTTCCCAGATAGTCAATTCTGCCTAAATTACAAAACATCATTTTTGCCCACTCCCAAAGGTTTAAGGTAAGGTAAAAATTGATATTTTCAAGCACTATGTACACATATGTATTTTTTTAAACAAACTTTTTTGCTGAGAATTTATCTAAATTCCAAAAACCGAATGCCAACTTGAATTAAAGGAACCAACACTGAAGTGAACATTTACTGTTATAATAAATACTGAAGTGAATCAAAACTCTCTGGGAATCCTACGAGACATCTGCCGGTCATATGAAAGGTCATAAAAATGGGAGATCTGCAGTCTTTTGGCATCATATTTTACATCAGAATTGAAGGGATCTCGGAAAAATCTGACCAGTTCTTTTGTGTAACTGTGATTTTGCATCCCTTGTCAACATATGGCCTCGGTTGATGTTAACTTAAGGTCGTTGTTTTACTGCCTTAAAATTGAAGGGAAATTTTTACAGCGTTTTTTGTGTGTATTGGTTTCTATTTGAGTGTATTGAGAATCGGTCAGTCTGAAAGGGCCTTGTAGGGAAGACAATAGGTTTGTTTGTCGAAAATCCAGCGAGAATTATCACTCAAAATATCAGATAGTAAGAAAAAATGCTCCCAAATTCTCTCTCAATGCAATTTTCTGTACGAACGCAAATTTGAAAGTTTTTTTGCCAGCTAGTGTCCACGGTTGCATTTCAAACAAAAGAAATTTGTATAGAATTTTTAAAATTCTTTTAGTGGGGCAAAAAACAGGATCTACGTGTATATATCTTGTCAGTCCGACTTTCTTCAACATACGTTTCAATTTCTTTGTCGGGTTTACTATATCGACTCTGGTTGAGATTGCATTTCGATTAAGAATACAGTTTTTTTTTGCCGAATACCTTTCAAATCATTGGAATTAACTAAATAAATTAAGTAAACAAGTATTAGCTTACATTTTTCATTTTAAAATCGCTGCAGTTTGTAAATTTTTAAATTTAACGAACTTGTTTATTCAAATTATAGTCGACAAAAAATCCAACCATGTGCCACAATCATATGTTTTTCCTAATTGCAAATTCCTGCTGGCAAAATTTTTTCCGGCTCGAATTTGTAACTTCTCTCCGAGAAATAGTCTTTTTACTCGTGATTTATGTAAATAAAACATGTGAAATTTAGTTGAAACATTTTAGCCGGTTTTATTTGCCAATTTAGCCGGTTCGTCCAAAAAGTTCTGGCAACCCTGGTCACCACCGAGCCGAATATGGTGAACTCTTCGTTACACTGTTTGCTTCAAAAGCTTTCAAAATCAGATCGTAAAGTTTTTAGGAAAATTTGCAAATAGCTGTGGTGAAAATAAGGCAAACGGTGTTAAGGCAACGCAGATGTCGCACGCCATTGACTTGGACTGCCTTTGCCACCTTTGCCGAACGTGGAAAGCTCAAATTTTCTTGGTACGATGGGACATCTTATGTTATCTACAACCACGATTCGCCGGTAACTTCAAACCACTTGGACTTATCCGGGTATCCTACACCTCTGGTCACAAAATGTATCACTTCATATTTTGCGTATTTTTATACCCGAGCGCACTTGTGCACAAGGGTATATTAATTTTGTTCACATAACGGTTGGTTGTAACAGCCAAAACGAATCCACATAGATATAGACAAATGTATACATAAATGCTCAGAATGAATAGAGAAGTCGATTAAGCAATGTCTGTCTGTCCGTCCGTCCGTTGAGATATCTCAACTCTCAAATTCGGTATGTAGGTTTCCATTAATCCAATGTAGGTTGGTATTGAAAATGGGCGAAAGCGGGCTGTAACCACGCCCACTTCCCATATAACGGTAATTTTCAGAAATACGAAAACTGCGATATTTTAGTAACCACTGAAGATTATTCACTCAAAATTAATATTTATAATAATTTTTAGACGAGAAATAAGGATATTATGCGTTTTTGAAAAATGGGCATAGCCACGCCCACTTATGGTTACATGTGTATATCTTGGTAACCGCCGCACCAATTTCTTCCAAACTTGGCACAGTTGTTGGCCTTTGTACAGCATACCAAATGGCCGAAATTTTTTAAAATCGTACCATAACCACGCCCACATCCCATATAACGGTAATTTAGAGAAATACAAAATCTTCGATAAATCAGTAAATATTAAAGCTAATTTATTCAAAATTGACGCTTGCAACAATTCTTTACCAAGAAATACGTTTATGAGAAAATTTTGGAAAATAGGCGTGGCACCGCCCACTTATGATCAAATACATATATGTATCTCGGTAACCGTTCTCCCAATTTGTCCCAAACTCGGTATGGTTATTGTGCTTGCTACATAAAAGTAAAGCGTTGAAAATTATTGAAATCGGACTAAAATTTTCATATAACAGTAAATTTCAGAAATGCTTGAAACTTCAATATTTCGAAATTTAAGGACGCTAATTTACTCAAAATTGATACACCCCTGCTTACCATGTAGCGGTAGCTTTCGGAAAGTTAAAAAAACATATATTTAATACTTGCACCGGGTATTTAATGTTCGGCTACGCCCGAACTTACTCTTTCTTACTTGTTTTTTTTTTTGTTTTCGATGCCGTCCCGATTAATTTGGAACAGTTGTTATCATTACCCTGACTATCGATATTAGCGCTTGACACTATCGATAGTATTGCTGCAAACTATCAACGAGTATCTACGCTTTACCGTCGTCCGCTGTAATTCTGAGTAGAGCTTTAATCGTCATTCGAATAAATTTTTCCCAACTCTGTTTGGAAATAGATATCTGCCAATTCAAAAATCGAGTGCATTTCTTCAGACTTTACAATTAACACACATAGTTATGTACAGGGAACGGATTTTATGGAAATTGCCTTTTTTTCTGCTAAAGAGATACAGTATATTCGATTAAGAATGTCCACGATTTAGCTTTCCCTGATTCCATGTATACACATTTGATGTTGCCTTTTTTTGCCTTTTTTAAGATATTTGCCTTGTTCTGCCAATTCTACCTTTAAAAAAGTGATTATAGCATTTACAGTTTTTTTAAGATTAAAAAATATACACATTGCCCATGCGGCTTATAGAAGCGCAGAGACCTCTTGCCAAATTGGTGTTGGAAAAATTCAAAGCCGTTTTCTCAGCTAACGTAGGCTTGAAGACAATAAGGAGTGTGGGTAAAATTGTAAAGGGCGAGGAAAATGCCTTTATTTCTGATAATATGAACGTTTCAAACGTTCCATATTTAAATTGGGCTCCACTTGTATCAACTTACGTCAAGCGCACATTTAGTACATTCGCGAATCGAATGAAAATGCTGCCAGAAAACTTCAAAATGCATCTTATGGTTCAATGTTACTAAAACTACACAGATTAAAGTTTTATGAGTTAGAAACTCGAAAGGATAAAATAGTCAAAGATTCAAAGTACAAATTTTTCATATAATGAAACTAGTTTATAGTTTTTCTCTTTTTACTTGTAATATAAGTATTTCTACAATAAATATATTTTTTGATTGTTCTTCGTATTTTCTGTCTTTTTTTAGTGCCTTATTTTGCTTTTTTGCAATACCTTTTTTTGCATTTTCCTGCCTTTTTCGCTATTTTGTTTTGCCTCTTTTTGCCTTTTTTGCAATACCTTGTGCCTTTTTCTGCCTTTTTCGCATTTTATTTTGCCTTTTTTATAGGTTTTTAGGTCCTAAAAATCCGTTCCCTGGTTATGTGTATATATAGGCAATTCTAAGTTTGACAAGTAAAATGTTACTATTGTGTGTACTATTTATTTAAATCAAAATTTGTATATAACCATAAAATTTTATGTTTCATTCCAAGAACTTCTTATAGAAAGGCCCTAACACATTTTCTTTCGAAATTCCGATTTGTACAAAAGTGAGTAGACGACCCACCAGTGTTTATAAAAAACCAGGGTTTTGATAAAATTCACTACCGGAGAACTTTGGTTTTTAAAAAGTTTTATGACTACTCTGTAAGGAACCAAAAATGTTAGATAGGGCGTTTCCATATTAAGGTACATACATATGTACTTAACAATAATTTTGGAAAATTTAAGCAATCGTTATACTTAATTTTTTTTGTACGAAACGGAATAGTTAGTAAAGATTTGTGAAATGCATCAGTTTAGGAAAGCAGTCTTAAGGTTCTACAACAAAATGTATTAGATTCCAGTGGGATCCATTAGAATGCTTGGTTAGCTAACTTTTTTTGGTTTAATTTGCCGTTTTGCTAGCCATCCTGTATAGTCGTTTTTAATTCGTTTTGCTTTGGATTTGCGCAGACGCTCGCTAATATAATCATCACGCTCGCGCAACCAGATGCGCGCGTACTCCCAACCCATCAGCCAGTTCATCGGTACAGGGCAAGGCTACAAATATAAAACGGTTAAAAAATTGTTTTTTTTTTTGCTGAATAAAGTTAAGTTCTGGAAACTTACGTCATTCTCGTATGAGGGCACAAATTTCTTCTGTTTTATGTAGACATGAGACTGTAGATTGTCCCGCGGCCGTATAATAAACGCTTTCGACCACTCCGCTTTCATTTTCGGCTTATTCAATTATTTTACTTTTTTAACATACGTATGTATGTATGTATGTACATATGTATGTATATAGCGTTCAAAACAATAATAAGTAATACTTTTTAATTTTGAAAACACACAATTTTTTCAGAAAGACCGTACCTGACAAAAACCCCCATGACAAAATGGATGTGAAAATTCAATAAACCTGCTCCGAGTGGTTTATCGTCGTACGGCCGGGTGTCTGAAAGCAGATCGCCCGTTTGCTTAATAAACGACATGCATACATACATACATACATACAAACGTACATACAAACATACATATCAAAACATTCAAGATTACCGGAGGGGTTCTTCAAGGCTCGGTGCTGGGACCGCTTCTTTGGAACGTGATGTACGACGGAGTACTTCGACTGCGGCTCCCGAAGGATGTAACGATAGTGGGATTCGCTGACGACATAGCTATTGTCGTAGTAGCAAAACATATATACGCTGCAATAATGATGGTGTCACAGTGGCTGGACTCAATGGGGCTGGAGTTAGCTCAGCATAAGACGGAGGCAGTCCTAGTCACTGGAAGGAAAATCCGGGAGAGCCTCACTCTGCAACTTAGGGACTGCGAAATCTTCACAAAGCCTGCCATAAAATATCTTGGTGTAATCATTGACGCAAGACTAACTTTCAAGGAGCATCTCGAATTTATCTGCGAGGGTTCTCAAATCTGCGGGGTTCTCAAATCTGTGATACTTTACGGCGCACAAGTGTGGAGCTACGCAGTGGAAGTAAGGTCATATGTTCGCGGTCTAAGGTCTGTCTACCGGCTATGTGCGCTAAGGGTTTGCTTTGCCTATAGTACCGTATCCGAAGACGCCGCTTTAGTACTGTCTGAATTACACCCAATAGAGCTTCTAGCGATAGAACTGTCAATGAATACACCTAGCAATTTAACACTTCCTGCTAGGAAAGCACTAGCCCGTAAACACACGATAGAGATATAGCAGAAGAAATGGGACGAATCGTCCAACGGACGCTGGACACAACGACTAATACCAAACATCGAAAAAATGGATCTCCCGCCCGCACGGCGAAGTTAACTTCCATTTAACCCAGATGCTCACCGGCCACGGCTGCTTCAGATCGTACCTGAAACGCTTCAACACGAAGAGCTTGACCATTGCGAAGCGTGTGGTGATGGCATTATCGAAGACGTCGAACATGTTTTGTTCCACTGCCCGAGATTCGATCTGGATAGAAACCACATTCGCTCTGTATTTGGAGAACACCCCACACCTGAAAACATGGTAGTTCACATGATAGAATCCGTTGAAAAATGGGAAGCGGTGAACACTGCAGTCACGCACATTTTGACCCAACTGAGAAGAGATGAGCAGCGTCGAAATGGACGACACATAACTACGCCCAGATGAAATATCTACCACCAGGCGCGATATTTGTCGAGGCACTAGCTGCTGAGGCAAGAAGATAAGCTGAGGCGTTACGTAATAGGCGGACGAAACATGGCGGGCGGGGACGCATGGACCTGACAAGGGTGAGTGCTTTTTCGAAGACAAAGGACGGCTCCAAGTTGATGCAACTTTCAAACGGACTGTACCAGGACTGCAACGAACGTAAAGCTTCCCGACGAAATACTTGACGGAGGTACCTGGAGGGGAACGGTACATGACGGTAGGAGGTTTAGTTTGGGTTAAAGTCTCACACTGACGGGGTTAGGCTTTCGATGCTTCCTCCTCGTAAAAAAAAAAACATACGTACAAACGTACATACGTGCATACATATGTGCATATGTATGTATATCAAAAAGGATTAGAATTCATTTTTCTAACCCAGAGGTTTTGGAGGTTCGAACTAAAAAATCTATTGATCGTGTCACTATAAGCTGATTCTATTCCAATTCATGCAGGGTGAGTGGGTTAAAAATACGGAATCAAGTTCAATATGATTTTTCATGTTTTTAGAGCAAATAAAGAGACACGTATTTTTTATTTTACGAAAAAAAAATTTTCCTGAGCTACGAGCATTTGAAAATGACAGGACAAAGCATGATAAAAACATTACAAGGTAAAATCTTTGATAGGCAGTCTGACGTTTGCCAGCAATATAGGCTGCATTTCTTTATACATTCCGGATCAAGGCGTATTTAACAAGGTGGTGTTGGATGTATATAAGTAAAAAATTACACTAACAAATTATACGCTGATGACCATACTGTCATTGGTATGAGTTACAACAAACACATCATTTTGACGTAATGGCCTCCACGGCGAAAAACTCAGCTGTCGCCCCAACACCACCTTGTTTAATACACCTTGTTCCGGATAATCTCATTTCACAGCCGGAATAAACAGAATGTGTTTGAAATATACGTTAACATATCATCAGGAACGTTCTAAAGAATAAGTAAACAAAAAAGTTTATTCCAAACGTTCAGAATGAATAAAGAAATTCAGCCATAATTTTAAAATTCGTACCATGATACAATAATTTTTTAGAAGGTAGTTTCACTTCTTCTTCTTATCCGCCATGTTAGCTATCTGACAGAAAACGTGTTTCGTATTTTTTGTTGTACCAACTTTTTCAAAAAAAATCCAGCTTTTGACGTTGGAAAAATAAAACAAAGAAAAGCCAAACATATACATAAGTAGAGAAATTTTCAAATATTTTGTAATAATTTTCTTCATAAAAAATTAACTGCTGCTTTCGTGGATATTGCAACACACGGAATAGATGTAAGGACACAGCTATAAGAGCCACCGCACACCACAGCCTTTATCGGCCGCCTATTTAAATGATATGGCTCGCTTGAAATATATACATGAAGATGTATGGAGGTGCGCACATTAAACCAGCTTAATCGCTCTGACCAATAAGTTGTGGTGCAATAGAAAGACTAGCGAGCACATCTAAATTGGCGGCCGATAAAGTCCGTGGTGTGCGATGGATCTAATCCATTATAAACAAGAAATATCGCTGTTATATTTTCATGTTTATGATTTTTATTCATGTGATTAGCAGTGGCAAAAATGTATGTATAAAATACGTATATTTATATTAAAAAAGTGATCAGTTATGAAACATATGAATCTTTACATGTTCTGTTAAAAAATATCTAACAAGCGATAATCCCCAAGTTCTATATCGTAGCAGTGGCCACATTTCGTGTTTGTCACAGACACGGTTTATGTCAAAAATTTTTAAGTGAAACTACCTTCTAAAATTTATTGTATCATGATTCGTACTCAAGCTCACACACACACATTCTCATTTTTAATATCAACCCACTGAGAAAATATGTAGGTAGGCCCCTTACGAGGTAAGCCTCTCCCTCACTTTAACATTGGCCATGATGATGACAATTTTGGTACTAAAAACTGAAAGAAAACATGGCTTACCTCGTAAGGTGCTTACCTATTTTCCCAGTGGGAAACAACAACAACTGTGAACAATTTAATTTTTTTATTTTCAATTTTATATGATTTTAAAATGTTTGCAAACGTCAGAAAAAAATCATGGCCGACGAATTGAGAGAATGGTTTTACCATTATACACAAAAAAGAAGGTAGTTCCATTGTCACTTTTTCGTCGGTATATTAACAACCTGGCAATTAAGTAGATTGTGACATTTCGTGCTACCATATCCAATATCTAAAATTCTTCAAATTTTATTATTACATTTTTGTTTATTTAAAGCATTTTGTTCTTAGAATCGAAATTTGAACAAGCTAGCGGTATTTTGTTGGGTATGGTTCGGTTATTTGTACAATGATTTTGGGTTATTTTGTCCACACGCGTAACCCAAATAAAAACAATAAATTGTTAATAAATTCCGTGTGGAGTATGCACTTTTTTGTAAAAAAAAAAATACTGTGTAGCCGGAGTTGGGCAGATTAGGGTTATGTTTTCTAATTGCGGCCGAAGGCCTCCAACACGGAAAGGTTTTCTGCGTCTTTGAGTCTTTGAGAAGTGGTAATCGTATTTAGTGTAAAATTTAAACATTTGTAAGATAAGATTTGAATCGCTTTTAAACGGTAAATGATATTATCTTTGGAACTTCACAATCTCACTGTGAAAGAGCGAATTAACACGATTTTAGAGGCAGTCGAGAACGAACTTATAAAAAGTTTGAAAACTTGTGAATTTTTTTTTTTTGCAACTTGCCGAAAGTACCGACGTAGTGGGACTTAATGTGCTTCTCGTGTTACTAAGGTACCCATTCGGAATGCAAATCGGAGAAGAACTTTTTATGAGCGAAGTACTTGAGACTTGCACCCCTAGTGACGAAATTTTTAAAGCTATCGACAAATTTGTACAGAAAAATGGTTTGAAATGGAGCAAGTGTGCGGATATTTGCAGTGGTTGGAAAAACGAATGGGGCGATGTCTAGGATCAAGCAAGAGGCAGAATAAAGTCACTGTATGATCCCTCGGTATTCCTTGGCGACTAGGAAGATGCCGCCACTAGATTTAAAACCCGTATTGGATGACGCTGCGAAGAAGTCGTGTAACGTCCAGGTCAAACTGCATTTGCAATACTTGCACAATGCTTTCTTGGAATCATTCAAATCTTCCACAATCCAGTTGTTTAACTAAGGATGTTTAATTCACTCTTCGTGGATTTTTTTTTGGTGTAGGTTTTTGGCATTGCAGAAGTGTTTTGATGCAATGTTGAAAAAGCGAAAAAAGTTACAACGTCAAAAATCAGTGACGGCAAGTAACGATTGAGTGTCCTATCAATTTTTGAAGTGAAACTTCTTTAGCGGCGGTTGGTTGGTTGGGAGTAAATTGGCAAATTCAACGGAAAATGCACACGGAAATGGTCCAACGGAAATGATGCAACGGAAATGGTGCAACGGAAATGGTTGGGGCTGAAACAAGTGCTTCTTGTGTGTATGCATATGGTATAAATTTAACTAAAATTTGCAAAAAAAAAGGTTAACGGAAAAGGTGCAACGGAAATGGTTGGGGCTGAAACAAGTGCTTCTTGTGTGTATGCATATGGTATTAATTTAACAAAAATTTGCTAATAAACGGTT